AACGTTCGCTTCATAAAACGTAAGTTTCATAAAGTGCACGTAATCCTTTCATCGAGAGGGGCCAAAATCCAATGCATACTAAAATTACAATACAATATTTGACTGCAATTTTTTCATTCATTTGTGCTTCAATCGCTATTTTAAATGACTCTCGTAGAACCATTAGCCGCTGAGTCCACAATACGCTTCGTTCCCCTAATTGCAAGGAAAAGCAATGCTGTCACCATTAGGCTATTTTAATAAAAGAGTTTTACTTATATCTTAAAATTTGGTTTTATTAATTATGGCCTTTTAACAATTATGTTCAACTATTTTTATTGAGTTTGAGGCCGTTTCTAATGAAAAAATGTTGTGGAAAAACAACAATAATTTACCCATAGGTAGAAGTTATTGCTACTATCTCCACATCTCCTCAACAGACTTCTTCACCGCGGTCACTGTAATATGAACCATTAGAAACGGTCACAAACTCCGTAAAAATTTTCGAGACTTTAAAATATTTTTTACCATTATTTTCTTAAACCAAATGATGGAATATTTAAACACCCAAATCCATAAGCAAAAATGTTCAAGTTCACCGCTACAAGTTGCACGAAACTAAAACTCCAGCATGTAATAAGTTTAACTAATATGTACATTAGGGTGGTCCAAAAATGCATGTGAGAAAGTCGGAATATTAATTCTCTCACACCTTAGGATTGTTCTATATCGAAGAAAAACTTTACCCCTGTTTTTTTTTATCTTGAAATAAAAAAATATTTAAAGGTCGCTCAAAGTGCTCAAAGTTTTCCATATATTTTATAAGGGAAAAAACAACTTTTCGTAGAAATAGTATAGAATTCTTGAAAATCAATATTTTTGCATTGGGAAATTTCGTTTCTCTTCAGGAGACTTCCAGTAACTGTATACAATTTTTTTTATAATTATTTTCTATTATTATTAATTTTTCACAGGACCTCTAAAAACCTCAAAAATTGCAATCGAAAAATATAGATTTTTAAGAATTCCATACCATTTCTACGAAAACTTTTTTTTTCCCCGTATAAAATACATGGAAGACTTTGAGCGCTTTGAGTGTCCTCTAAATATTTTTTGATTTCAAAACAAAGATAACAGGGTAAAGTTTTTCGCGAAATAGAACAATCTTAGGGGGTGAGAGCATTAAAATTCCGATTTTACTTTTTTTTTTACCACCCTAATGTACATACTTATACTTGTACGTGGTTGTAAATATGGTTATACATATACATGCATATGTGCATGCGTATATGGAAATTACGTAGGTCAATTCGGCTACATACATACAAACATTGTATAACTCTATGTCTTCTTGCAGTTGCTTGACTGACGACTAGCTAGTCACTTTGGCGGCCATGGGTCATCTTATTCGACGCTCATAATGTGTTTCCGGCTAGATAATTCATCGTTGGCCAGCGGGTCATCCAACTGTTCACTAAACGTTGATTCTTTTTAACCGCGAAATGGTTGGCCTTTGTATTTCTGCGTCATTTTTAGTTGCAATTATTCGCTTAATGTGTGAATATGGTTCCATTTGCGCTAAATTTTTATGATTTGACTTCAATGTACAAGTTGCGAGTTACGTATGTACATATGCATGTACATATATTGACTAGATATTCATTGTAGCGAACAAACGTTATATGCTGATGGCAGTATGAACTGACTTAAATTCAGGTGATGAATTATAGTCTTTGGTAAGGGTGCGTTCACACAAAGAGCCGAGCGACGCACAGTGTGCTTTTTGAACACTCCATGCGAATCAATCGTAGCGCTTTCGACAGAAACAATATTTTAATATGAAACAAAATGGTTCGGAAAGCTAATTTTGTTCCCTTTCACGGAAAAATATTGCCATTGATCCACAATTTCTCCTTGACCTTAAAAACTTGGTCAAAAATAGTGTTCTTCGAAAAAAAACATGCAAGATCCACCGGATTTGTTCCAAAAAAAAAAAAATTTTTATGTTTTATCACACTAATATTATAGATTTAGAGAGATTCCACTGTTTAAATATCAAAAACAAATTTTAACACCTCAATTTAAGAAATGCATTTGCATGCAGCTGTGCATCCTTCTCACAATTTTATATCACTAGAATAACATATACACTGTAGTGCTATTCAAGATCTTTAACTTGAGCCAAGGTAGAAGTCTCTAGGGCCTTCGAGAGCCAAATTATAACGATTCTGAAGTTAAACTATCGGCTACAAACGCTCCTGGAAAATCTTGCTTTATGAATACTTTGATATAACGGCATTAATTTGACAGCTCGGAACGGCTTCGCTCGACTTGTCCCCGCTTCTTGTGTGAACGTACCCTCAAACATTATTGATGAAAGTTTGAACTGAAATTTTTTACTTATTTCTATAAGCAAATGTAAAAAAAATTTAAAAACATTCGCTAGGTATTTTATTAATTGAAAAAAAAAAACACATTGGATTTAAAATAGTAATTTCATCACTTAATATCAGTGCTGCAAACCGGTTTTGAACCGAACCGTCGCTTTTTTCGGGCTTCGAACCAAACCACGAACCGAACTGTCTTTATTTTGAAATGCCAAAACAGAGCCGAAAACCACAATAAAGCATTTTTCAAGTTTTGTATTACACAACTTGGTCTTAAAATGCAACCCGTATAGTAAAACTGCAAAAAAAATTTTGTTTTATGGCAGCTCCGTGAGTTGTAATTTCGTCCATATAAAGAATGCTTCATTTATTTTATAAATAGAAGAAAATGCTTAACAACGCGAATTAAATAAAAAAATTCTAAAATTCGATTTTTTTGGTTTGAATTAAAATGTTTGAATCTTCGATGGACTTTTGTTGAAATTTGTAGATTTTTTTTAATTTTCGTACAAAGTTTGAAATTTGGATTTATTTGTTTGTTTTTATATAACGAGCTATGCTTTAAAAAAAATTAATGAACATTAAACCAACAAAGGAAAAATAGCCAAATGCCGCACTAATATTATTGGTACAAATGAAGTTAAGGCCAAGTGTAAGCCCCAGATTCTGAGTATGCCGTTTTAATCTACATGCTAGGCTAGGCTCACCGCTTGTTCAAACCTGAAAAAATAACCTTGTTATAAATTTTCTAATTTCACTTTGATCGCGTTAATTTTAAATATTTTTAGGTTTTGTTTGATGGCCGTTTATTGTAATCTTTTGATTGTTTTTTGAGCTCTAGGCCGAGGGTAAAGAAGACATCCAATTGTTTTATTTACCCTCGGCCTAGAGCTCAAAAAACAATCAAAAGATTTAAATATGTTTTTTGTTTTCTTCGATAGAAAAAATTGTCCAACATACATACATACATCAACTTAAAACTTCAAAGATTTTCCTAGAAATTCTTATTAAAATGTTTGCAATTTGGATGAAACTGCGCAGAATATTCATTATTTTTGCACAAAGTTTGAAAATTGGGTTTATTTGGATAAAAAAATAAACCCTAAGTAAAGAGAAGAAAAATAGCCTATACTTGATAATATGTCGCGTCCCCAGTTTTTTCCACCACTATACATGTGGATATTGAATTTTGATCTCAATAAAAAAGCCTTTAATTTTTATATCATGGATTTGTCATATTTTTTTAATATTTATATACTTTAGCATAAAGAAATTGAACCACTTGAACCGAACCGAACCGCGGTTCAGGGATACTGTGAACCGGTTTTTGTACCGGTACACGCTTTTTCTAAGTGGTTCGAACCACTGAATCGAACCGCACCGATTTTTGGAGTGGTTTGCAGCCCTGCTCAACATATCGTCCCGCTTTTGCCAGAAGCATGAATGTACAAATTTACCAATTTCGAGTTATTGGATTGACTGTATTAAGCTTTGGATGTTCTATGTTATATCAAAACCCAGAATACCGTGCAAACACGGAGACTAAATATTTTACAATTTCAATTATATGAATATCTACGTATGACAACACCAAAGCACACGCCACAAATCAAGGCCAATTTATACAAGGTGTTGTTGTTAGATTAGCTGATTTCTTCGCCTTACATGTATTTTGTTTTTTGCTTTTATTACTGATTTGACAGTACGCCCATCAAAAGCAACAACAAAATATATATATGTAAACTTTGGGGCGAATTGAGATTTGATATAACGAGCCCTAACCGCCAAAATAACGTAGCCGACATTCTTTTCTAAATTTGATTTCTGATGCAGAAATATTCCTAGAGCATCTAGATGCATTTCTGCATTAAAAATTAAATTTCGAAAAAATGTCCCTTACGTTATTTTGGCGGTTAGGGCTCGATAACATCCATAATACGAAATTCACGTGGTTGTTGTTTTTGTAATTTTGCTATTTGTTCATTCGCCTTGCCACAAATCGGAGCAGAAGCTCGGCCAAACACTAACATATGGGTAAAAGCGCATTTACCCACAGACGTAAAAACGGAGAACGTGTCAGCTGAGGCGATCTATCTTAAGGGATCTGCGTGTTAATAAAATCTCACCACCGCATGACCGTGACGTAGACATTTCTTCTCTCTCTTTCTATCAACAGCAAACTTGATATATTTCTACGTGCTTCTACGCTACGCTACGTACACGTACGTACGTACGTAGGTAACCGCGCTCTAAGCGCCAATCTATATAATTACATGAATGTAGAGATGTTAAGTCTTGTAAGAAACAAATTTCAAACTTGATTTTCCAAAAGTTAAATTTTTGCACATTGACGATTCTGGCGTGCGGAGGACGATATACCCTCCGTAAAATCTACTAGCTATTAAACAGTTTACTTGGCAGCTCAGCAACAATATACATATGTTCTACATATGTACGTATGTATGTATGTATATTAGCAACAGTGTTTGGATTGCCATTTACCTGTGGGCGCACTATTCAGTGTGTACATCTAATACTCATACCGGTGGACGGGGTAGGCCGACTATTCATCATCAGTTAAGCACAAGCTCTTATTTGTTAATCTACTCGAATGTTTAATGAGATGTGTTTTTCATTCCAGGCAGTATTTTTTATGCTTGTTTACGTAGGCATATTATTTAAAATATGGCTGAATACTTGGCGGCCGCCGTGCCTATTACGAGAAGTATCCAAAAATAATAGAACAAATAAAAAGTTTCTAATACTCTCGTTTTCATTAAATTTTGCGTTTTACAAGCTCAAAGAATTGCATGTTAGCAACTGATATTAGTATATATTCACTTTTGGTGAGCTGATTAAGTTAAGGACATTTTTCCTATTTTTCCTTTGTTTATTTAATGTTTGGGCCATTCCATGTAAAAAAGGAAAAGGCTATAAATTTGAAATGCCCTAGCTATCTACATGTATTTCGCTAGAAACCTCTTGCTAAATGACTACATTTCACATTAATATGTTGAAAAATATTAAAAATTTAAAAATAATCTGTAATTTTTGTCTATGAAAACTTTTACTTCATACATATTTTCATTACACCAGTCACAAATGATAGTTACGTAGAACTAAGAAAAAGTTTGGTATTTTTTTTTTAAGGGAATTTTAGACATTAGTTATCGTTCTTGGTTAAAAAATTTCGTTCACTGTTTATAAGTTTCGACGGAACATGTAGTTATAATTCAAAATTGACAACATTCCCGAGTAAAATGTTCCACCAGTCATAATGGAATGGCCCGCTTATTATTTCCACATTTCAAATTTAGTACAAAGGTTATAAAAATTCACCAAACTTTACTTTAGCCAAAACTAGTGAAAATGCCACTTAAATACTACAATATATGGGTTTGTATTGGAATTATTAGATCTTGTTTTATTTATGTAGTTCACACATGGTGTTACATATCGCCCATTTACTTCGAAAATACATATCGTCACCTGAAATGCAAAAAGACGTAACTAATAAAAAATTCAAAATTTACTTTTTGATTGATATTTAGATGGATTTCATCGAATTACAACTGCCCACATCGTGTTATGAAAAAAAATTATTGGTCACGACTTTTTCCATTTCGGTGACGATGTTTGTTACGTCTTTCTGTATATCAGGTGACGATATTGATCCTTCTGAAAGACTAAATTGTTACTCATACGCCAGTGAGTACCTAAAAAGGACATTACAAATATTTGACAAAGGAAAATTAATTTTTTATTTCTTTTCGTTTTTACTTTTAAGAACGTCGTCGCACTCACCATTTTCACAGAAATAATATTTGCAAACGGATTCTAAAATATACATATATCACTGAATTTATCGATTAATTTCTTCTTATCCTAATCATAAATTTATGATGTTTTGTTTTTATTTACACCACTCGCTATTCTTTACAAGTTTATTGTTCTTGAAGTTGGTTGATACCGTAATCCACTTAACGTCTCGCATAAGAACTCGTGTGTAAGTGTATTCGATCGCTGGCGCAGCGTAAATGAAATACAAGTTCACTGTCGCTTCAGTTTTGTTTGTTTGCTCTTCAGTTTTCGTGAGGTGAACTGGATTTTAAGATAGTAAGTAAATTCCTTCTTTGCGACTCCGTTGGTCGAAAAACAGCATTCTACTTACATGCGCATCACAATTGGAATTGCTTTCGCTTTCTGTAAATGGTGTAGAACGCTGCAATGCTCTGCTGTGGGAATTTACGGAATTTTTTTTCAGTTTTAGGCAACAAATTAGCCTGAAGAATTCTTTTAGGGTGTGGTGAATTCGAGCAGGGCTCACTTTTAAATACATACATACATACGATTGCATTTAAAATGGATCGCTTGGATGACGAGAATTTGCAAATTATATATATGTACATACATATGGGTGTTTCCAGCGGAAGGTCCACCACGACAAAAAAAATAAAAGTTTTATATCTAACGTATTTACGGGCCGATTTGTCTGCTTTTTAAAATATATACTGGCTATGTAAGTGGAATCATGTGTGCATAAAATGGTCTTCCTAGGTGGTGCCAAGGTCGAGATATTTCGAAAAACCGTATTTATGGTCCGATTTGGTTCGAGTTTGGCGTATGTGCTTGAAACATAATAAATCATAGATTTCTAATAAATTGACCCTGAATTGGCGCTGAAGTCAAAACATAAAGTATATTCTACATAAAATACATGTTTTATTTGCGTTGAAAATTCATTTAAAAGCAATATTAACAAAAATATAACGATGGAAATTTATGTTACGTGACGAACCGTCACGTCACGTTTCACACTTGGGGTTGTAAAAGAGAATTGAAACAATTTGCATTAATTCAAAATACTCTAAAAACAACTTGAATTGCTCCAAATCATATTAAAATAAGTTTCATGAAAATAGCCATCCACAATTCGCAGAGTTTTGCGATTTTGTAAGAAAAGAAAAAATCAACTTCCATTTTCTGTCACGTAACGACCCTCTCTTTAATTGTTTATATTTCAGGACCAAGCAGTTCGATTGATTTCATTTTTCGACTAAATATAGAGCTAATTATGTGCTATACAATGGCCCAAAAAAGTTAAAGAAAACAAATGGTATTCCTTTTTTGTATCACATTGAAATCGTACGACTGTCACGTGCGCCACCATGGGAATGCCCATATGTGATGTGCTTTAAGGTGGTCCAAAAATGTATGTGAAACAATAAGGTCGAATTTTTAATGCCGCCACCCCCTAGGATTGTTCTATACCGGAAAACAATATACCCCTATTTTTTATTTTGAAACCACTTTTCGTAGAAATAGTATAGAATTCTTGAAAATCCATATTTTTGGGTCAAAGAACTTTGCTTATCTTCAAGAGACTTCCAGTAATAATACCCAATCGTTCCTTTAATCATTTGTTCATGGTAACTATATTTTATAGGGCCTCCAAAACCCGCAGAAAACGCAATGGGGGACCAATAAAAAATCTTTAATATTAAAAAATCAACAAAAACATAAACAACTTGATGCTAATATTGGAAGTTTTCCGACCGAGAAATATTGATTTTCAAGAATTTTATACCATTTCTACGAAAAGTTGTTTTTTCCCCATATAAACTACATGGAAAACTTTGAGCGCTGTGAGCACTACCTAAATATTTTTGAATTCAAAATAAAAAATAGGGGTCTATTTTTTCCGTTCAGAACAATCCTAGGGGGTGGCGGCATTAAAATTCCGACTTTATATATTTTTGACCACTCTAATATAGTAAATTGCACACACAAAAATTAATATATTTGCGAAACCATGGGCCAATATTTGTTTTTCAAAAAATTATACGTTAAGGAGCTATAACAAGCTATGTATATAACATCCTCGAATTTCGTCCTTTTAACTTTATCAGTTTACAGAATTCCCTATTCGTCCTTGTGAATCCAAAATATTTAAATTTTTTCAAATTCTAAAGAAATTTCCTTTTTCATTTGGTACCCATACTTTTATTCTCTATTGCACTGAATTTTTTAAATAATTTTTGGAATCAATCATAACTTTGAAATTACAAAGTCCTATCTATACCCACTGAAGTGTTTTAAAAAATGTTTAACTTAGTTTTTGGACAATTGGGGCATTCACAATGATGACGCAAACTTTAAACGGTTAAAAACATATTTAGCTACCATAAATTCATAAATACGAATTTTCGAACTGCCATAAAATAGTTGGTTGTGGTTTTAAAGCGATAGAACCGATACTCGATAAATAAATGTTATCAAATTTTAATAAAATTCGACGTGACCGAAATCAAAAATAAATTAAGTACTAATGGGGATTCATAGATTTAGTTCAGAATTTTCTTCCATCTAGTTGTTATGGTGTTTCTTTCTGGGAAAAAAACTGAACGACACCCATATGGAAGAAAAGTTCAGAACTGTAACAATGAATTCGCCTTAAGAATACCAAACGCTTTTATTATTCGGTCAAAAAACAATAAATCGATACATACTGTTCGAATTTAAGAAAAAAAAGTTAGAAAAAAGCAGCGTTTGACTTTAACGTAAAAAAAGCATGATAAAAACATAATAAGATCAAACCAAGGCATAACCAAGGTGTATTAAACAAGGTGTGATTGACAATTCAGTGCGGCTCTCTTTTAAGGTACTATAATGTCAAAAAGTATAAACAAACGAATTAACCCTTAGTGATGTATGTATCTTGTCAGCACTGATGCCCTAGGCTTTTAGTTCGATTATAGTTTTGTTTTACTTACATTATCTGAAATATATATATTTTGTCAATAAAATAAAACAAATTGTTTATAAAATCGTTTTAGCAATTTTCTTGTTTTTAATTGCCCAAGTTTTATGTTTTTGTGCGTTTATTTTTATATTTAAATTTTTATCCCAAACATTATTCGACACTTATAAAAGTATGATTTTACATTTCTTTCCAATTTTATATGAGAGCTTAGCTCCAACATTTTTGAAATTAAATTTTTTTCATGCGAAATAGTTTGGGTATAAACGAGCTCGTTTGAAAGTGCTTAACTCGGACGGACAACAAATGAATCACTTTTCTTGAAGTGGTTTTCACAAACGCGAGATGAATCACGTGGTACAACACCACAGCTTTCTTTCAATTGCTGCCGTCTTAATTCCCCACTAGGTGCACCGTTCAAACGTTTTGCTCCGTTTCATCTTGGTTTCCTTACATTAAATATTTAAGCAAAGTCGAACATATTTACTTATTATCAAACCTAAATGTACTTACTTGCTCTCCTCGGCGGTTTATCTCTTAACAAGAAAATTTGTTGCTTGACAAATTTGTGTGTATTTTTTTTTTTTTCAATTCAAATTTGAAAAAAAACACATTTTCAAATGGGTTAACAATTCATTTCAATTTGACATTATAGCCTGCTTCGTATGAGAGCAATGTCAAAATCAATCACACTTTGTTGAATACATTTTGGTACAAACACAGGAATGCATAACTCATATTTAAATAGTCAACAACGGCCATTAAATACAGGATCTGAAAATGACTTTTAGCAGTTCATCCACAATCTCAACTAAAATTGCTAATTTGGCCCTAGTGGTTGGAGGTGCATACTCACTCGGCAGAACCTGGTTTCGATCCGTGGTCCGAGCAACATCTTAATTCGATTTTTTTTAAGCGGCCGCCCCTGGGCAAGCAATGGCACAGCCCCGAGTGTATTTCTACCATGAAAAAGCCATTCAAAACGTCCGTTCGGCGCAGCTGTTCCGAAACGCTGCGCAGTCTTCTAATTCGGGAAAAAGGGACAAAGACAAATATCTCGAGAACGAGAAAATATAGCGAAATAAATGTAGCAATGTTCTTTGATTTCGAGATGGAAAATCCAGGAAAAATAGTCTCATTGGATAGAAGAATTGACATGGCTTTCGAAATTACTATCGAAAATAGAAGATTTTAAGGTTTTTCAAAATAGAAAATAAAAACGCATTTAATTTTTTTTTAAGTGCATTGTATGCTGATTTAGGTAAAAAAAGACAAAATTGCAAGATTTTTACGTTTAAAGTTCGGTTTAGAATTACCTCCAAAGTAAAGTGCGTATGCCGATACGTCGTTTCCAAAAAGAAATTTTGAACGTTTTTTACAAAAAGTTTTTGCATACTCACGTTCTTTTTCAGGATTGGAACCATTTTCGATTGATAATTCTTTCATAACGACGCAACTTTTAATACATCCGATGCAAGAAAGCATACGGTTTTACAAAGTGTTTCGCTTTTGGTTTTGGTTTCGTTCTTTAATTTAGTTTCGATTATGAAATAAAAATATGAAAACAAGCTAGACAAAAAAGATTGTTTGTTAAATAAATGAGTACCTTCCAGGGTTTGCAAATTTGTGGTTATTGTTAATTCATACAAATAAAACTCCTCTGAATCACTCACCCTCACATTTTGCAAATTGCCTATCAGCTTGAAAACAATTTCCCATTCAAGACGATATTCAATTTTTCGTCTAATTGATCATAGCTTTTGGAAGTGAGCTTTTGTTTGGAGCAAATTGAAAGCAATTTTTTAATGCATAAACGTAAAGGCTGCATTTCTTTATTCATTCTGAACGTTTGGAATAAACTTTTTTGTTTACTTATTCTTTAGAATGTTCCTGATGATATGTTAACGTATATTTCAAAGGCATTCTGTTTATTCCGGACGAGAAATGGGATTATCCGGAATGTATAAAGAAACGCAGCCAAAGTATTGCTTGATTTTTTTTACGTTACACGATGAAGAACTTGCTTTCAAGTTGCAATATACTCACGCCCTTTTAATGACACACACTCGCTCTTTTACAACTTGACCATCGACTTGATATCAATTTATCATTTCAAGTCGTGTGGCAACTTGATAGTCAAGTCAAAGTGAGGCGAGTATTTTAAGTTGTTTCCTTGACGACGGCATATTGAAACGAAAATTGACTATCAAGTCACAGCTGTCAATACAAATGAATTTCAGCAAGCACAATGTGTGATCGACTTGAGAGCAGATTCTTGAACGTGTAACGGAACAGTTTTGCTACTGAAGAAAAACAAGTTTGTGGTGATCAGATCCTGCAGCTGATTGTTTTTATAGTTTTCTCGAAACCGATTGGAACCGGTTCCTGTACTTTAAACGGCCTCGGTTTCGTTCTTTTTCAGGCTAAAATAACGGTTTCG